ATTCCAAAAATCGACGGCCTTCAAATCCGAAAAATAGTGACACTGAGTCGTTACCCTTTTTCTTAAGAATTGATTAAAATACATTAAGCATGAAAGCAAGACGTGAATAACCTTATTGTCAATAAGTAAACAAAATAAACGGGGACTTAGAATAATTTACAATGAAGGAAGTATCTCACTGGTGCTTTCCCTTGCGCTTTGGGGCATGTATTTGGCACTGGAGCTATCCCGGTGAACTGAGAGCTGAGGGTTAGAATTTGCATATTATTTATTGAGGCAGGGAAGTCAATGCGCAATTCGCCTCTGAGTCACTGTTTAAAAACATTCTCCATAATATTTGTCAAGGCTCTATATATTCAAAGGCTTAAATATTCTGTTAACAGATATCGTGTTAATGTAAGATGCTAAGTGATTGAAGTTTTTTGGCATTATATATAATAGATTTGTTGTTATGATTGAAAATAATCTCGGAACAACCTTTTCTGTGTACCTACCATATACACACCTACTGCTTTCACCAAAACTTAGAAATGATTTCCCCAGAAACAAATTCCATATCTTAGATGGTACTCTTGATGAGAAGTAGACAGCTATTCAAAACAAGAGAAAATCATCAAAATATAAACCTAAAAATTCAGTTGTTGATTCAAAACTGACTATATAAAAATGGCATCCCTAATTTCCTTTGAAAGTTAAAATAGAAGTCTTTAAGGAATAATCTATTTGTATCACACTGGGTTTGTACTGAATCTCAATCAGTTTCAATATTTTACTGATTTTATTACCGTTTCTTGAGTTGTGTGATCAACACATGAAATAAATTCACCCTCAATATCAATGAGAGCTAGATTATTTACTTATATCAAGAGCAACCATGTAGAGGACCAAAACCTGAGGGTTGATAAATGATAAAAATGGATGAATAAACATCTTATGATAGTGATGCATGCACGAATTATGTAATTCAATTTACATAATCTATTATGTGACATCATTTGATAGATTGGATTGCTACTGGTGGATGTAATTTCAGTAATAATAACAAAAAAATGAGGAAACTTCACATATCTGATGAGTGATAACAGAACCGAAAATCATTTACTGTTTGTGGATGGGTTGAAATTAGTTTTTTTGTTATACAACTGTAATTTCCAAAAGTTGTACCTTGTAATATGCGATTACATGATAAGTAGTAAACATCCATTGTCCTAGAGCAGGAATGAGAGATAAATGAAGAGACAAAAGTAGAAGGGAGAGTGGAAGGAGGGTATAGGATACTCCTCTGGGTGCAAGACATGTTGAGGAGGTGGATAGAGTGAGTGAAGGACACGAAGATATCAGTGCAGGAATTGGAGAAGAACAAATGAGGAAAGGAAAAATGTGAAGGGGCATGAAGGGGGTGTTAGGGTTTTAACCCGTTACCAATGTGGACTGTATATAATTATTCACTAGTATTAATGAAAGCCCAAGTACTTTCAACAAACTATATTTCCAAATATTACACAATGTGCAATGTATGCACTGTTTGTCTTCTATTCTAACGTGTTACCATCGTCACACTTGACTAACTACCCAAAAGCTCTTAAAACTGTTATCTCTCTATGCGCGAGGGGTGTGTTTGCATCGTTACCAGATATATAATTTATCCTATAATTTCTAACAGGGGGGAATGAAAGAAATCCCGAAACATCGGATGTCTTTCAGTGAGGATGACAGTGTTCAATATTAGTGAAGTTTTACCTCTTTCATTTACTATACAGAGTGATAATTTGAAAATTTACAATGGCTATATCTGAGCAACCAAATACAATATAAGGCATCGCTGAAAGCAACTTCCACAATAAGGAGAGAGGAAAAATGATGTAGAAGCTAACATTTTTCTCTTCAATGATATCCTACAAAGATACATTCGATGTAGTAGTTTTTGGTTTATTAAATAAAATACTATTCATTGTTACGACCTTCATTCGGGTTCGAAGGCCGTCGTGATTTGGAAGTGTATACTAACGTTTCGCCAGCACAAGTAGCTGGCTTTTTCAGAGGTTTATTCATGTACAAGTAAACAAAAAAAGTATAGGGATAAAATGTTCAAGAGTCTTAATAATAATGGTACAATTGTAAAAAGAATGTTTTTGAACATTTCTAAAATTAATAATCGAAACTAAAATTTTATTTTAAACAAATAGTGTTTTATTTAATAAACCAAAACTTACTACATCGAATGTAACTTTGTATGGTACCATTGAAAAACATTTTTTAAGAGCTTCTAGATAAAGTATCACAAGTAGAGGGTTGACATTTGAGAATATAACGTTGGGGTGACTGGGGGCAAGGGGGTAAGTAAAAACAAGTTATCTATTACATCAAATTCTTTCCCCTCCCTATTATGAAAGTTGTTTCAAGTAATTTCTTATATTTCATTTGGTTGCTCAGATATAGGTATTATAAGTTTTCAACCTCTGTATATTTTAATAGTTTGCGGCTGAAAATTATTTCTTTGGAAGATTGCTACATTTTTTTGTATCAAGGTGAAGAAGTAGATAGACAAAACCTTTCTTTCCCAAAATTAATCTCTCCAAAAAATATACCTCTTTCGATTCAAAGAAGGATTTGTCTACTTAGTTTCATATAAAAACCAAAGAAGATACAGGAGGTTCGCGTACATTTTTTTGTATCAAGGTGGAGAAGTAGATAGCCAAAACCTTTCTTTCCCAAAATTTATCTCTCCAAAAAATATACCTCTTTCGATTCAAAGAAGGATTTGTCTACTTAGTTTCATATAAAAACCAAAGAAGATACAGGAGGTTCGCGTATTTGCTAAAAAACAAACCGGTTGTAAAATGAAAATATTTTGAACAGATAATGGAGCGGAAGATTGTAATGCTGTTTTGAAAAGTTACTTGCTAAATAATGGTATTCTTCATTAAACTTAAACCCCGTATACATCTAAACAAAATGGTTTTACTGAGCGCATGAATCACACAATTGTCGAAATAGCTCATTGTATGTTGTTTGATGCTGAGTGAGATACAAAATTTTGGGCAGAAACTATCTCAACTGCTGCCTATTTGATCAATTGTTCTCCAAGTCACGCTTCAGAAAAAAAACGCTGAAGAATTATGGACAGGTAGAAATTTAGATTTAAAACACCTGAGAGAATTTGGTTGTAAAGTTATCGTACACGGTCCCAAACAGAAACGTTCTTAGTTTGATTGCAAATCAATTGAATGCATCATGCTCGAATACAATGATCAATCCAAACCATACCGAATAGGTATTTGATCCCGACAAACAGACATTTTCGTTAGTAGAGATGTAAAATTTATTGAAAGATGTCAGTCAGCAGTCAAAAGTGAACCGAAAAGTAGTACTTACTTCCAAACAGATTTCCTTCAATATTTTCGACAGAGAAATGATTTCCAAAGAGATTCACCCAATAAAACGTGGGAAAAGTGCGTGCTCTTATGAATTTACACCTCGTAGCTCTAAACCAGAAAGTGAAGTGAACAATGATGCAGAAGAACACACATAATTCGTTCAGACAGAAATGTATCTTCTTGTCATGGAATTTCCGAACTTTATGAAAATCATCAAGGATTAGGGGACTTTAAAAGGAAAAACCTTGTCACCTATAGTGTAGAATCTGACAACGAAATTGACGATCCGACAGATTAAGAAGAGGTTATTTCCAGGAGTGATTCAGTGTTCTTTCTCCGAACCGAAAGCAATTAGATATGTAATGGGTATTTAAAAGTGAACGAGGCACAAATGGAAAGGTTGTCCGGTACAAAGCTCATCTTGTAATCAAAGCCGTGCTCAGAAAAGGGGTACAGACTATGAAGAAACGTATTCTCCTGTCGTAAGGTACACTTCAATTCGTTTATTGGTGGCTTTATCTGCATTTCTACAAGGAAATTTGACAGAAAAAAAATCTACATGCTTCAGCCAAAAAAATTCGAGAATGATACCCTGCAAGTTTGTCAATTGCAAAAATCACTCTATGGGCTTCAACAAACAAATAGAGTCCGGAATGTAAAACATGATTCTAAATTGAAACAGTTTGGTTCAACACAATCTACCGTCGATTCATGTGTTTATATCAAAAGAAACAGTGAGAAAATTCTCATCGTAGTTATTTATGTTGACGATTTGTTGATATTTTTCGAAGATATGAAACTGAAAAATACACTGAAAGAAAATTTGTGTGAAAAAACACAAATTTTGATTTGCATTAGGAATACAACTTTTACGTGATCAATTGCAAGAAACAACTTCTATCGATCAAAGTACGTACCTTAAAACAATTCTGATTCATTTCGGGATGGAAAATTGTTCTTATTTCAACGCCTTTAGATCCAAACCAGAAATTATTGAAAGATATAAAAGATATGGCTCAATATAATTGATATTTCAGCTATACATTCCTATTTTATTTGTTCTTTCATAGATTTCAAATCATATATTTAAATCCACCATGAAACATTGTCAACCACTTTCAAAAAAACCTTTAATTATATTATCGGTTGTACTTTTTTATAACTTTTGTCTTGTTTATTTGAAGAATATTGTACCTCTGTACTTTTTGGAAATAAATCAAAGTGAACGTTTATCACAAAATTGACTGGCAGACAAAAGTTTGCAATTCCAATAAATTTACGTTTCAATAATTTTTTTAGAAATAAACCCCAGCCACATAAACGAAATAATTACCCAATCAGAACAGGTGGTATAAATCGAAGAATAGAAATTGATAACTTAGCTTACACATTTATGATCCAAAAATGAACATTTTTTCAAGTAACACTATTGTAATATTTTCACTGGACAGTTTACAAAACCGCAAGATGTCTTTGGCTATAGAATAACTTCCTCAAGCATTTTCATACAGTTGAAGTTTTGTAAACTGTCCAGCAAAAACCTCACAATAAAGTGGTACTTTAATACTTTATGAATTTTCCCACAAGTATCGGCCAATTATATCACATACAATAAAAATTTACCTTAGGAGTTTGCAAAATGACTCCGAATGCAGAGAATGTGTCATATAACAATTTTTCATCAACTTCAGGATCCAAATTTCCTATGAAGATATTAGCCCCAACATCTAAATTTTTTTGGTGTGCGGAGGCTTTATTGACTCGAATAGGCTTTCCATATAATTTAATCATATTCATTATTTTAATAGCATAGTCAGCATCTTCTTCGCCCATGAATTCAACGAATCCATATCCCTGATGCATCATAGTTACCCGATCTTTGGGCATATGAACATTGACTGAAATAGAAGTAAATATATAATAATTGCATTTTTAAGAATATTACTCACCCAATGGTCCAGCTTGAACAAAAAGTTCCCATAAAAGAGATTCCGACACTTTGTCATCCAAGCCTCCAACATATATAGTAGCATCTGAAACATAAGATACTTATATTACACCAACAAAAATGTGAGCATACTTTTATTACCTCGATTTCTTTCTGCTATTGGTCCATTTGCCATATTAGTAACCTCTGAAAAATGTATTTATCTTGTCCAACTGAATTTAAAGAAACTAATTAGATGTGGTATATTACGAGCTTTATTGAGGTAATTATTGCGATCTGAATATGGATATACCACATATCTTAGACAAGAGAAGGGAGCCACAGATACATTACATATATCTTGATTTCTAACCTATTTTGAAAAACCTATGTGAAGTTGGCTGCCAGACTTAGATGTCTAAAAACCCAGGAATCTTATGCCAGACCCAGCTGCTAAATTTTCCGAACGACCAGTGGCGTGTATCTTCACTATTAGCGGAATGAATATTGTCGTATAGGAATATACAAAAAGTCATAATTGATATCTGTTCCAGAAAATCGACTTATACAGTAATTGAAATATAAAGATGCTTCAAGACGATATATGAAAATAGTGAAAATAGTTCCTTGCTTACGACGCGTTTGGATCATAGGTAGGTACACTGCAAAAAGAAATGTAAAAAAATATTTTTTATACCTTTCCCAACATACTGCTCACACGATATACAATGGGATATGATCATAGTGACCCAATCTAATCCTTCCTTGAAAATAATTCCTTACTTACAACGCGTTTGGGTCATATACTGCGAAAAACAAATTTTCAAAAAAATATTTTTGATACCTTTCGCAACATACTGCTTAGACAACATATAGTGGGATATGATCATAGTAACCCAATCTAACCCTTCCTTGAAAATGATTCCTTGCTTACGACGCGTTTGGGTTATAAATATAAAATATTTTTATACCTTTCCCAACATACTGCTAAAACGATATATAGTGGAACATGATCATAGTGACCCAATCTAACCCTTCTTCGAAAATAATTCCTTGCTTACGACGCGTTTGGGTCATACACTGCGAAAAAAGAATTAAAAAAAAATTTTTTGATTCCTTTCGCAACATACTGCTCAGACGATTATAGTGGAATATGATCATAGTGACTCAATCTAACCCTTCCTTGAACATTATTCCTTGCTTACGACGCGTTTGGGTCATACACTGCAAAAAAGAAATAAAAAAAAATAATATTTTTCATACCTTTCGCAACATACTGCTTAGACGATATACATATAGTGGGATATAATCATAGTGACCCAATCTAACCATCAATCAATGACCTTTTGGGTCATTCACTGCGAAAAAGAAATAAAAAAAAAATATTTTTGATACCTTTTGCAACATACTGCTCAGACGATATATAGTGGATACAGAATTTTTTGTGTTAGATCTCCTCTAGGAATGTGTATGGTTTTTTTTAATATATTGAATGTGAGGTCTTGTTGTGTTTTGATTTGTACTTGTTCCTCGATAAGTGATTTATGATTGTTGAATTTATGGATGTTCAAGTTTTCCCAAATGTCCATGCGGTTTCCCTTGTTGACTTGTTTTACGAGTTTTATGTTCTCTGGTGGGGGGAAATTATGTTTGTTTTGTATGGCGATTTTCTAGTTTATCTATTGTCTTTTGGGTGTATCCGTTTTCGTTCGCTATTTGGTATATGATTTTCCGTTCTTTGTTTCGGGCTTCATTGCTGAGAGGTATCCTTAACATTTTATATATAAATGCGTTATAGGCAGCCATTTTATGTGATGGTGGATGGTTTGAACTTGCGGGTATGGTGGAGCGTGTTTGTGTACGTGTGGCAGATACCCAATGGAAAAACAAACAACCCACCCAGCTAATGCCGCGCAGAGAGTTGAAGTAAAACCATCAGGTACCTGTGCAACGTCTTCGATTAGGTTCGATTAGTTCATTTTGAGACTTTAGTAGTCTCGCAGTAAGTGAGCACGTGGTCGTACTCGTGGTCTAACTTCTGAGAAGCATTCTCAGAACGAAACAGCTCCTGATAGTGTGTTATTCAGTAAAATAACAAAGTTAAACTAGAGGCATCCAGTATTCCGAAAGCTACCAGACTGTAAGCGTGTTGGAGGGCGAGAGGCGATAAAGCAACTTGGGCATCGACGTAGATTAAAAACCGCAGTCAGTTTGCACAGAGCTATTCTTTTCAAGTGTCTGGGAAGTAGTTAAAACCCAAATTACTTCCCAAATGAATTCGTTATGACACACTGAGATCAGTAATATATTAGCTTTTATCAAAGCTACCAAACAATCAGAGCTTTTCAGCTTTAACAATTGAACTCGAGTCGCTGTGCGACAACAAAGACTTTCGAGTCCAACGAGGGAGATCCCAGGAAGAGGTTTCCGTCGCCGTATTCACTATACCCATAGCGAATACAGTCGGAAGTACGCCAACCCGCATTGTTTATAAGAGCTTCCACGAAAACAAAAACAAGGAAAAAGAGTTGTCTTTGAGTTATTCAATATAAATGAACTCTTCTCAGTCAATAAATAATAAAACTTTCCTCTTCTGATATAACAGTTTTGTTAAAAATTGCTACAAAGTACTTAATTATGCTTATCTTTGACATATCTAAAAAACGATTGAAAGTTGTGATGTACAGGAAATATTGGTAGTTTCATCAATTTCCCATGCAAAAAAAGAAACACTTTCAATCTCCTTGCTTATATTTTCCTTAATAATATATGCCACACTGTCTATAAGCTCATTTTGGGTGGTTTTTGAGGTGCCCGAAAAAACACTACCGTTTAAAAAAGTGCCAAATTTTGAATCATATTTGCCCCGTAACATTAAAAGTTCCTTGTAATTGCCGCGATTACTCGAATCTTCGGTTTCATCGTGTCCGCGAAAAGCTAATTCTGGGGAACCCAAATAAATTGTAATATCGATAAGTCTTTTTGAATTCGACCGATTTTCTCTAACCTGATTATTAAAAGAAATTATGGCCTCTTTTTGAGCTGTATCTAAAGCTGTTTCTATATTTTTTTTGCTAAACAATTTTAATTTACAAGACGAAAATATATGCTCCTCAGATTCAAAATGTCTTTCTGTAGAACGAGGTAAATTTTTTAAATCGGAGTATCCTATTTTAGACGGAAAATAAAACACAGGACCAACAAAAAAGATTTTCTCGTTTAATGGAGCCGGTTAACCAATAGCATTTACCGTACCAACTAATTTAGTGGATTATCTGACGCTTTGATTGATATCAAATTTGGTTGAGGCCTTCCTGTGGAATTTGCCGCGGTGGTAGTGCGCCCGACTCACGATCGGAAGGCCGTGGGTTCGATTCCCGCCTCGTCCAGCTTGGCTCCCTTGCAACGTATGTCATTTATTATTTCGGGTTGATGGTTTATTCGTTACTCGTTCATGGGCAGTGCGTTTGAGGTTTGTTGATACAGGATACAGTGTGGTACGTACTACGTAGTGAGTGATAGTGTTTTTTCGGGCATATTATGTATTTATATTAAAAATTAATGGTAAAGTAATGCTACCCAAGCACTTAAAAAAAATAATCATAATTATTTGTCAATATCTTTTAATTTATTGCGATGAATAGCCTCAAATTTTATGAGGAGGCTAAACCTCCCTTGCCTCCTCTGACAAGCTGCCGCTGCTCTTGGGGCAATACCTCCTGGGTGGGTGTGGAAAGTTGCCTTTTCTAAATATTTCCAATTGATTTCATAACACTGAAGTCTGACCCAGTAGAATAATTGAACAAGGAATTTTCACGAAAAAGTTAGATTGGGTCACTATTATCACATACTACTATATATCGTATCAGCAGTATGTTGCGAAAGATGTCGAATTTTTTTTTAATTTCTTTATCGCAGGTTATGACCCAAACGCGTCGTAAGCAAGGAATTATTTTCAAGAAATGGTTAGATTGGGTCACTGTGATTACATCTTACTATATAGCGTCTAAGCAGTCGGTTGCGAAATATATAACATTTTTTTTTATTTCTTTTTCGCAGTGTATGACCCAAACGCGTCGTAAGCAAGGAATTATTTCCACGAATGGGTTAGATTGGGTCACTGTGATTATATCCTACTATATAGCGTCTAAGCAGTCGGTTGCGAAAGGTATGAAAAATATTTTTTTCTGCAAATTTTTTTTTCGTGGTGTATGACCCGAACGCGTCTTAAACAAGGAATTATTTTCACGGAATGGTTAGATTGGGTCACTATGATCATATCCCACTACATATCGTCTAAGCAGTATTTTGCGAAAGGTATCAAACATTTTTTTTTTATTTCTTTTTCGCAGTGTATGACCCAAACGCGTCGTAAGCAAGGAATTATTTCCACGAATGGGTTAGATTGGGTCACTGTGATTATATCCTACTATATAGCGTCTAAGCAGTCGGTTGCGAAATGTATCGAAAATATTTTTTTTTTGAAAACTTCTTTTTCACAGTGTGTGAACCAAACGCGTCGTAAGCAAGGAATTATTTTCACGGATTGGTTAGACTGGGTCACTATGATCATATCCCACTATATATCGTCTAAGCAGTATTTTGCGAAAGGTTTCGAAAAATATTTTTTTTTATTTCTTTTTCGCAGTGTATGACCCAAACACGTCGTAAGCAAGGAATTATTTTCACGGAAGGGTTTAATTGGGTCACTAAAATAACAAAGTTCTTACACAATTTCATGCATAATGAAGCTATTTTATATTTCAATTACTGTGCAAGTCGATTTTTTGCAACAAACAACGGGGATCCCTTTCACACTAAGCGACCGCGAACAAGTATTTTTTTTTGATGTACCGCCTTCTTCTCGATCTTTTCTGAACGCGAACAAGCATACGTTCGCTCGTTCGCTAGCCCGTACTCACCAGACGATTATTGATGCAGAATGCTCGTTCACTCTTGTTCGCTCGTGCTCGCTTTTTTGGTGAATACGCACCTTCATGCTATTCGAAGTGCTCTACTTTGAACATCGTCTAGTTTTCGGATTGTCGACTGGTTTGCAGAAGCATATGCTATTGATCCCTAGTCGATTCTGGATCTAATAAGGGATCTGTAGAGTTGAATAAGTATGGTTGTGTCGGCACCCCATGTTGTATTGGATAGCATCCTCAGTAAATTTAAACCTCCTTGGCACTCTCTGATGAGATGGTGTATGTGTGATTTCCAAGAAATTTAATTTCGTCAACATATTCCAGATTTTTGCCATATAGTTGTAGTGTTGGTCGGTCTCTCGGTGTGTTTTCGAAAAGAGTATTAATCTTGTTTTTTTTGAAGAGAAAGTGAGTACTGTTGATTTAGACCAGACTTCTAGCAGTTGTAGGTGATGCTGGAGTATCGAACTCATTGTTTCAATATTCTTTCCTTTGATAATTAGAAATAGGT